CTAGCATGAACTGCAATAGATGCTTTTTTAAAATATATTGAATTATATTTGTGATACAATTCTTGAGCTCTTGTTGTTTGTTCAAGGCTATAGTCTGTGGTGGGCACTTGATCTTAAAAAGGGGCACTATTTGTTAATGTTCAAAGCTCTTTATTGGGCATACTGCCTGCAGCACCTCTTTTCACCCTCTGTCTGAAACAGAGCCCAGTCTGCTCTGATTGGTTAAGCTGCTGGCTCTGCTGTGATTTGGTCAACCTTTACAGAAGTCCACCTTAGCCTATCATGTACAATTACATTACTTAGCTAACGCTTTTATCAAAGTGCTACAATAAGTACATCGGCAGGAAGGATACAACTGAAGAACAGAATCATATCAGTTCATAGAGTAAAACTTTCAAGTGCTACTCAATGCTTTAGATAAGCACAGTCTTTATTAGTATATAAGTGCTGTTGTAGCCGTTCTTTGTTAGTATTCTAATCGGCTTGAGTGGGAGTCGGAAGAGATGAGTTCAGTCTCCCCCGGAGATGTGCAAGCTTTCTGCTGTCCTGATGTCAATGGGGAGCTCATTCCACCATTTTGGAGCCAGGATAGCAAACCCACGTGTTTTTGCTGATGGGAACTTGGGTCCCCCTCGCAGTGCGGGTGCAGCGAGCTGTTTGGCTGATGCAGAGCGAAGTGCACGCGCTGGGGTGTACAGTTTAACCATGTCCTGGATGTAGGAGGGGCCAGATCCATTCACAGCATGGTACGCAAGTACCAGTGTCTTGAAGTGGATTCTAGCAATTACTGGAAGCCAGGGAAGGGAGTGGAGGAGCGGATGTACAATGTGTTGTAGCACTAGCCAATATAAGTGTTAGTGTTACATAGTGATGTCAGTATGTTACGGAAGTTAACAAAAGAGACCAATCGAGGTGTTTCAGGCAGTGGGGTACGGGAGGAGTGCGTAGGAGAGAAGCTCCCTCTGGAGGGAACTTTGGGAGTTTGGCCTTGGCAGACGATTTATTTACATGCCCAAAAAACGTATGTATGTACAGTAAATATATTGTTTTCTTATTGGGATTCCTACTCAGCCCTTGTGATTGAATTTCAAGCTGGTATCACATTTCTGGACATGAATAATAACTATTTTGTTCTGAATCTCTTTTTTTCAAGTTCTGCAAAATCCAATTGAAAGGGATGCAGCCGCTCTCCGTCTGACGGGGATCTCCCACAACGAAAACAAACTCACCCAAACACAGACGAACAGGGTGTCCCCTCCAACTCTCTGGCACAGGGAGGGCAGGGACTTTCCCTGCCTGCAGCACAGGACCCACACACACATTTCCAGTGACACACGCAAAAGAAAGTTCACCCTTGGTTGACACACACACGCAGCGGGCAGAGTCATGGCTGATCGGACAGGGCTGGGACAAACAATCATACACACGCACACAAACACACGTACACACAGGGGCCACGGTCAGTGTAACCAGTGCCAGCTAAATCTCGTCAGCTGAGCAGTGATTTGGCCGCAATCTGTGATCATGACACTGCTTGATACACACTGTCTGGACTTCTTCACACACACAGAAACACACACAAAGAGCAGGCAGACAGTATCAGCTGAGCCTCTATTTCATGGTCATTTGTCTTGGATCTGGGTTTGCCATCTCTGCCCTGCTCTGACTCCGGGCCTTGTTCTGTACACAGCAGCATCGTCATCGCAGCGGAGCACGCCTCGGGATAGTTTTTCACTGACGCCACAACATTTGCAGAACTTCCACAGTCAAATTCATTTATTAGAAAAGTTTCTAGATGAGCAGTCAAAGTTTTCACGACAGAAACAAGAGACTGTGCAAAAGAGAAGTGGCTGGTCCAAAGACTAAGTCCAGAAAGGCTCAATAGGTTTGCAAGCATCCCAGCTTCTATCCATGCTCTTTGAGAGTAATCAATGTGTGCAACTTACAACGTGGGTGCATTGCATGGTCTCCACTGAAGCAACGGTACTGATCTACTATGATGAATTTAGCCTTATCCGTATGAATAGTGACTGTGAGTACAAAAAAGGATGTGTCTAAAAATGAGAAATGTATAAAAGGATTGTGCTGCCTTTGAGTAGGATATTATAAAGACGGAAGGATTATTGTTACACAGTGATAGGATGATTGTCGAATAGGAGATCAGTTGGAGCCCTTACCAGTCAACTTAACGGAAGACCCTGATGAAGAAAATGTCAGCAGCTCCTCTTCCACTGATCCGCTCACTCCTGCACACAAGGAAGAAAAAAGCTGTTTAATTGTGCAATCAGATAATCAGATGATCATTACACTGGGGAAAAGTTTCAAAGATTCAAAGAGAGAACTGGAGAAATGTTGGGAGAAAAATATAATAAATTACATTTAAGAAAATAATATAAAAGTTTGATTGGTCCAACTTTCTTTAATGCATTCGTATTCTTTTGTCAGACTCTTTTCTCACTCTTAAGGATTTGTCATCAAAGTTAAATCTTAGTTGATCACCGATCAAGGTTTCTACGTCTAGTCCGAAAAGTAGCTCACAAATTGAGTGCGTGTGGGTTGGTTGTGTTGTGTTTGAAATGCCTTTGTGCATTAAATTGTGAAGAAAAGGAGAATAAGAAGAGTGAAAGGAGACAAACAGGAACATGAGACACAGAAAGTGAGAGGGAGAGAGGGGGAAGAAAGCTGAAGGTAACTTATTCTATTTGATAGATCCACTACTTTTCCCTTCATTCCTCCTTTTTCCTCTCCCTCTTGCTCCCTACATTCCCCCTACTCTCACCCCCTTCATAGCAGAATGCTTCAGTCTATAAATATCAACAAGAGAGACTATAGAAGCACACACACACACACACACACACACACACACACACACACACACACACACACACACACACCAGTTTAAACCAATGAGCACAGTGGTGTATTGTGCCAGCAGAGCCAATACACACTTCTAAAGCCATTACTCCCCATGGAAACAGGCGAGCGCATTCGCACACACATGTGATGTTGACGTTGTACCGGCACAGTGGCTGCCTTAGACAATAAGCTATTTCAGGGCCAAATCACTGACAAAAATCCATTTTTCCACCCCACTAAAAAAGATCAGGAATGAGGGAGGGAGAAGGAGCAGGATAGAGAGAAAAGCTGAAATCAAATAAACAGTGGCGTACATCTCTCTTAAGCTGGATTTATCTCTGTATTTTGTCATCATTCTAATTTATTCCCCAACCTGCTTACAATTACCGCCTTTTCAAAACTCATAACGCCGGCTTGTTGTTGTTTTCAGGGAGATTGCGTGGTATCTGCGAATGAATGAGCGGGGGACTTGCATAAGGTGGAAAAGCTCCTAGTGTACTTTTGTAGATTATCCACTTGATACCAATTCATTTTCTCCCTCACTTGTCACAGTTTTGTAAAGGAGGCGATGTAGGACAACGCACACAAAAGCTCACGCGCGCACACACACACACACACACACACACACACACACACACACACACACACACACACACACACACACACGGTACAGTAGAGGAAGGGAGTGGGCTCGTCATCATCTTTAGTTGTGATTACAACACTTGGCAAGCGCTCCCCTGCCTGTTTGCCTGCCTATTGCCTTACAAATGGATTAGTAAGCCCTGTTCCATTTGTGTGTGTAGCTTCTCTGAGATTTAGGTTGACTTACAAATAACACCAATCAGATTTGGGAGCAGCCGCTGTGTAGTGTTTTTTTTAAACGGAGGAATATTGAACGATGTGATTTGGGGACAGTACTGGCTTTGAGTTTGGAAAAACCTTGGGGACACGGTCTGAGCGTGTCCCAAAGCGGCTGTGTGTTGTGAAGATGTTACACGTTCCATAATGAGGAAGTCTGACTGCAAGTTCTGAAGTCAGGCAGCGGTTAATCCATGGGAGGCCTGCTCACTCATCCCTAGTTTACATGTAATAAAGAAGTGGACAACACTGATCTGAGGAAGAGAGAAAAAGAGGCATTTAGACCGGGAATGCAGGGTAGGAGTAGATGAGAGGTTTATAGGGGAAAATAAGGAGATTTATATTTTGGGGATTTGTGTATGTTTCTTTTATTGGTGCAGATAACTTTCCAAAGTCACAGTGAAACAACCAACGAAAGAACTGCTAATCAAGATGCTATTCAAATTGGCCTCATTTCAAATATCTTAGATCTCAATAAAATGCTAAAAAGATTCAGGACATTCTGAATATTTCATTGGTAGGTTCTTTTGACTGATGTATTGATTTCATTGAGATTAATTGATTTGATGTTTCCAGTGAAAGCTGGTTTGAGCCTTTTGTTTGCCGACAACCACAAAGGTCATTTCTGCCTAATCTAGCAGTTTAACTGGCATAAATTTAAGGAAACCTTAACTATAGAAGAGGTAGATAATAATACACTGAGTGCAGTTTGTAGTGCAATCTGACCAACAATATTAACGGTACGTCCACACAGCAGCTTTAAAAAAATCTTCCAACGCTTCCAACGCTTCTCTGCCCATTGACTTTGAATGGGGTGACGTCAATTTGCCTCGCTTTTCGCCGAACTGCATTGTGGGGAAGCAAAGCGAAGATTTCCAGGATTTTCAGGATTCAAAAGTTGAGCAATGTTCAACTTTTGAAGCTGAGCTGGAAGCGTCAGCCAATCAAATCCCGTTTATGCAAATCTGACAGTACAAGCGCTAGCCAATCAAACCGCGTGCAAGCTGGGAGAGCCAGACCGCAGTTCATTTCCTCATATTCCAAACGAGAAATTACGGTAGCAAATCACCCGGTTCTTTACGACCAGTAACTATTTACCGGGTCGTTACTAAAAAAAAGTTATATATTACATATTACTTTTTAAAAAGTATATATTACACTACTTCGTTACTGATCACATAAAGGTAACTCGTTACTTTACTCCGTTACCTTACCCGTTACTTTACTCGTTACTTTCTCGTTACTTTACTCGTTTACTTTACTCGCAGGACCGGCCCGCCCTCCCTACAGGCAGATCACGCAGACTGCGTCGCACCTACAGTGTAAGGGGGCGCGCCACAGTTTTGGCCTTC